CAAGTCGTGCCTAATCTCTTTCTCATTGCTGACAAGTCTCCAGCGTGTCGTATACAGCATAGAGGCCTGTGGGGGCTGCAGTTGTCAATAGTGCAGCCATGTTTAAATGGCATATATCCCCACATCTCCTAGATTGGTATCTGGCTGGTATAATCCTGCATCCTGGATTCAGCTTGTGTGCTGAAGTTGTTAGTTCTCAGATCGAAGGACTCTCTTTCATAATTTTTGTAAGTTTGGTTGGGTTTTTACATATTCCCTTAATTTCTGTTTATCTGGAAATGTCCTAATTTCACCATCATATTTGAATGAGAATTTGCAGGATGTATTATTCTTGGCTGGCAGTTTTTTTCTTTCAAGTTTTTATATATGTCATCCCATTACCTTCTTGCCTGCATCGTTTCTGCCAAATAATCTGAGCTTAGTCTGTGTTGTTTCTCCTTTGTATTTGACTTTTTGTTTTTCTTGAGCTGCTCTCAGGACTGTTTGTCTTTGGTTTTGGTGAGTGTGATTATGATACGCCTTGGTGATCTTCTTTTGGTGTCTATCGTATATGGGGTTCGTTAAGCTGCTTGGATGGCCAGCTTTTCATTGTTCGTGATATTGGGGAAGTTTTCTGTCAGTAGTTCTTCAGTGATCCTCTCTGTGTTTTCTCCTCCTGTTCTGGAACTCTGATCACTTGCAGATTTTTGGTTTTGATTGTATCCCACATAATTCTCAGGGTCTCTTCATTTTTCTTTGTTCTTTTTGTCCTGATTTTTCCTCAAACAGTTGTATCCAAGTGTTTGTCTTCAATTTCGCTGATCCTGTCTTCCACCATTTCAAATCTGCTCCTCAGCCCTTCTGTGACACTGTCCATTTCTGAAATCTTGTTGTTTATCTTTTGGATTTCTAATTGTTGTTTTTGTGTGATTTCTAGTTGTGAATTTATTTTGGCATTTTGTTCCTGCATTATTTTTCTGAATTCTTCCATTTTTTTGTCTGTATTTTCCATTAATTTGTTTGCCTTTTCCATGAATTTGTCTATTTTTTCCTCATTTTTGTCTGCTTTTTGCTTCAACTATTGGATAGCTCTGAATATTGGAGATTTGAATTCCCTTTCAGGCAGTTCTGGTGCCTTTTCTACTGGAAAGTCATCTGGTGTTTTATTTTGGACGCCTACTGGAACCATCCTGTCGTGTTTTTGTAAATGTTTTGATATTGTCTGCTGTCTTTGGGGAATTTGGTAGTTATTTTTCTCGTTTATAGATTGTAGATTGCTTGTTTCATCCTGTTTTTTCATTTTTTTTGTCTATGTCTGAGCAGGTGGGCTGTGTGTTCTTTATTGTTTGCTCATCTCTGGGCACAATACTTTTCTCCTCCTGCTCCAGTTGGCAGGGTCAGTCACTCAGTATGGTACAGCAGGGTAGGTCTACCTGAAGTGGAGTTACTAGGATGGGTTTTTTTGTGGCACTTACTATGGCCACCAGGGTGGGCCGGTAATCAGTGCAGGTCAGGTTCCGGTAGGCCATGCCTGCTGCTTGGTGGTGTGATGTCCATTGCACAGTGCAAGTAGGCAGGATGGAAGGGGAAGATTGTGATGTGTGGAGCTAAGATGAGTATGGGGGAGAGGAGAGGAACAGGAGCCAAAAACATACAAACAAAAATGAGTGCTAGGGGAGCTTGCTATTGGAGTGGAGAGATGAGAGACTATGAAATAGAGAAAAACAAAAAGGAGAAGAAGAAAAGAAAAAAAATGCTTAAATAAAAATTAGAAAGAAAAAAGAAGAGCAAAACACCCAGGGATTCCACCGGTGCGGCTGTGAGGTCTGAAGAAGTTGCTCCCAGGCTGTGAAGTACAGTCTGGCTAGAAAAGAGGTGTCACTCAGTGTCAGGTATTCAGAGGACAGGAAGAGAAGGAACGTATAGAGATATGAGAAACTGAGTAATGAAGAAAGACAGAAAGGGAAAAAGAGGGAAAACGAACAAGAAATACCCAAAAAGAACAGGGGAAAAAAAAAAATGCTCTCAGGGATCCGTCTGTGCATCTGTGCAAACCTAGGGGGTAGGTCCCAAGTCACGCAGTACTGCCTGGCTATAACGGGCTCCCAGTTCGAGAAAAGAAAAAGAAAACAAACAAACAATTCAAAACTAACAAAAAAAGCCCCGGGATCCCACCAGCATGGCATCATGGGCCAGGATGCAGTCTCACATTCAAGCGGCATTTCATAGCCTTTCAGAAGAAGCAAAGATGGCTCATGGAGCTAGGTATTTGAGAGAGAGGAGGGGTAGGTGGTGAGAGGTAAGGAAGAAATCTAAAAAGCAGAGAAAAGCAACACCAGCAGCCAACAAGTGGCACTTCAGGAGCCGGCCAGTGCAGGCGGGTGGAATCCAGGCGACACTGGGGTGAAGCTGATGCTTCCCGGCCAAGAAACTGTGGCCACAGGAGGCAGAGGGGTGGTAAGAAGAGTGGTGTTGGCAAAGCGTATATTGCTGGTTACCGGTTGTTCTGTCTCCTGCTGGAAGTTCCCGTGAAGCTGCTTTCTCGTACCTGCTGTTCGCTGGTCTCTGATAGGAGTCCAGGATGGTGGATCCGTGCTGCGGTCGCTGATAGGGAACCTCTGCATGTATCTCTCCTTGCTGTCTGTTCTCTGTCAGTTTCTTATTCCATTTGGTGCTTGGCTGAGTTCTTTATCTCTTCATTTGATGCTTAGGGTTTCAGGATTGCCGTTTTTTCTGTTTGGCTTAGTTTTTCAGATCTTTGCTGTGGAGGGACGGCATGGTGCTTCTGCCTATAGTGCCATGTTACCTGGAAGTCCTCTTTTTCCTCCTTTTTAATGGTAACATTCCTTGGTCAGTTTCACAGACATTGGTATACTTACCATGTGCCTCACGGCACCCATAGTGTGGTAGGGAAGACAGGATTCAGTCCTGGGTTAGGCTCCTAGGATTTCTTTCTTTCATAGCCTTAGTTATTATGTTAGCTCTCTGTGGATGATTCCCAATTCTTATCTTTGGCTGAGCTTCATCCTGTATCTCCACTTAATTGTTGCAAGATTTCTAGTTTGCCCAAACTCAGTTATGTCTAAAATTTGACTTCTCCATTCTTTTTTTTTTTTTTTTTATTGTACTTTAGATGAAGGTTTACAGAACAAATAGTTTCTCATTAAACAGTCAGTACACATACTGTTTTATGACATTGGTTAACAACCCCATGACATATCAGCACTCTCCCTTACTTCTTCCATTCTCTTAAGTGCATTTTTCTTCCTGACTTCTTTGTCAATGATAGTATCTCTCTGAAGGAGCCCTGTTGACTCTGTGATTAAGTCCTCAGCTGCTAACTGATAGGTCGTCAGTTCAAACCCACCAGCTGCTGTGTGGGAGAAAGATGTGACAGTCTTCTTCCATAAAGATTACAGCCTTGGAAACCTTATGGGACAGTCCTGCTATTGCCTGTAGGGTTACCATGAGTCAAAATCAACTTGACCACAATGGGTTACTGTCTCTCTTGTAATCATCATCCTAGCTCCGAACTTTAGTCAGCGTTGATTGTGGCTTCTGTCATTCTTGAACTCAACTTACCAAAGTTAATATGTTGTCTCTAGCTTGTGTCCTTCCCTTTATATCCTACTTGCATTTTTTTTTTTTTTTTTTTCCGTTTTAGACCTGTATTACTGCGATAGGACTTTCTCCTTTTAGGCTCTTTACCACATTTCATCTTGTATACTACTGCCAGGTTAGCTTTCTTAACACATAATTGAATTGGTCATTCCCCATCCCTGAAAGTATCCGAAGACTCTCTTGCCCACATTGTGAAGCCTAAATCCTTATCCTTCCTCTGACCTTCCCCCATAAAGCTAACCTAATGCTGTCTTTCATAACCCTTGGCTCTAGGCAGGCTGTTTGTATCTTGTATGTTGCTATGGTAATAGCTGTCCTTTGAATGATTACTGTGTGCTCAGTACTCTTCTGGGTGCTTTACATCCCTTGTGTCATTTATAAATCTCATGAGAACCGTGAAAGGTAAGCGAGTTTCATTGTGGTTTACTACTAGATCTTATGTATTAGAATATCTGTGAGGTAGGAAGTGTTTTGAAAACTACAAAGCCCAATACAGACACAAGGTATTAGCATACTGGCTTAGTGTCTTGTAACCTAGGAAACTTTTATTTTATTTTGCTATCTGAATGTTAAACTTACTATTATAGATAAATTTTGACATATGAAAGTGCAGAGAGAATAGTAAAATGAATCCCTGGGTTACCTGTTATGTTGCTTCAACATTTGTCAATTCATGGCCAATCTTATTCTACAACTTTCTGCTTTGCTGTATACTTTTGAAGCAAATTCAGATTTAATATCATTTTACTGGAAACCTGTTATAGAAAAATGTATTCTGACTTTCAAGCAGTCAGATTGTAAGCAAACTTCAGGACCACAGTCCTTTATAAGTTGACAGTGGTCCTCAATTGGAGATCCCAAAGGTCAGGATAGGTGTTGAGGGATTATTATCTGGAATCTATTTAATATTTTAAAATATGAATACAAAGCATTTATCATTGATAGTAGACACATAAGGCAAAAATTAATATACATTTTTAGACAAATCTTTCAAAACATGGGTCTGGGAGGGAGGTAGTGGTGGTGTAGGTGTATTCTCATGTAGAATAACAAAAGGGCCCTTAGTGAAGATGAAAAGGTTTGGATCTACTGGCTGTTATTACCTTATAAGGTTATCTAGTGAAAGAGAGAAAAGAAACATGGCTGTCCTTACCTCTTCCACCTCTCCCCACTGTCTTCCACTACCAGGCTAAGAGAGGACTGAGCTGCACCTGCCTTCAGTCTTTGCTCCACTTTTCCATTGGAATTTGTGCTTACCTAAGAAGTGTGGGACAGAAGTTGTGATACTCCATATTGGGTTTATGAGAAATAAATATGACTCTTCAGGGAGTTTTAAAAAATACTGTATGGTAAACTTTTTTTTTTTTTTTTTTAAATATTTATTTTGGTGAATGTTTCAGTCAAGCTGCAGTTTCAGCTCAGGCCACAACAAATGCCACCCCAGCCCAGCCTACTGCTCCACAGCCTCTAAATTTGGCACATGTTCCTGGAGAAGAACCCCCACCAGCTCCAAACCTAGTGGTTCAAGAAAATCGACCCATGAATGAGAATGTTCAGATGAATGCACAGGGAGGTCCAGTGCTAAACGAAGAAGATTTCAACCGAGACTGGCTAGACTGGATGTACACATTCTCACGAGCTGCAATTCTCCTTAGCATTGTATACTTCTATTCTTCTTTCAGTAGGTTTATCATGGTAATGGGAGCCATGCTACTGGTTTATCTGTAAGTCATGTTCATTAACTTTTTGTGGTTTCTTGTAATTACTTTCTAAAGCTGCTTAGCCAAGAATCTGTCGTATGGCAGTCTGTCAGTGAATGTTGAGTGAAGGAATGTGAATGCTGGGCTTCTGATATTTGGTATTTTTCTGATACCAAAAGCAAGGCAAGTTGTGTTGAATAAGAATGTTTGTCAGAATTGTGTAGAGGCAGATTTTTTTCCTTTACTATCTTTTATGTTAATTTTGTTAGACATGCCTTGTTGATTATTTAGAACTTGAGAAGGTATATGATGCACTCCTATAGAAGCATGCCCTTTTTAATTAATAGTTATCAACAAGAAGTGCTATGGGTATAGGTCAGATTTTTTGGTATAGGTAGGCTAACTTTCCCTTGACTCCTTTTCCCCAAGGAGTAAAGAAATACTTGAATTTCATTTTGAAAAATCTCAAAAAGAAGATTTTATGACTCCTGGTATGTCCTGATATATCATAGAGCCAGTTAAGCCACAGTAGACTTTTAGACTTGACTTGGTTCTTGTTTTGCTGTCGTTGCTTTGAGAGAGAGAGTTTTCTGACCTGAAGTAAGAGATGTGGTCTTTTCATTTATTATAGTTCTAATCATTTTTCTTTTGTAGGACACTTTTGCTTTATAGTGTTACAAATAAAAACAATTCTGCCTTTTTTCTTTATTTTGTTGAACAGACACCAAGCTGGATGGTTTCCTTTTAGGCAAGAAGCAGGTCAGCAGGAGGCTCCCAACAATAATGCGGAAGTTAACAATGATGGGCAAAATGTTAACAATCTAGAACTAGAAGAAATGGTATGTTAATCAGGTTTTTGTATATTTTAAATATAAATGTTTTCTCAGGACTATGTGGGACCAAAGTAATAAAAGAATCATGAGTCTTCCACATGTTCCATTTGTGGAATTGCACATGAAGAAAAGCTAAATTATAAATTGTGGTGGTTTTATCCTGGAGAACTTAAAATATAACTTTGAGTCAGTCATATATTAGAATTAAATAGGAAGGATTAACATTATTCTTCCTGAAGATAACCTAGAAAGAAAATTATGCACATGTTGAGAATTTATTTTGTTACATCGGTACTTGTCTTCTTTGACCTTAAACACTAAGGAATTTATCTTTTTTGAATGTAGCAAGGATTTCCAATGACCAGATATGTACCACTTCCTTATTGCATGCCCATATTCCTTTCTACGAAAGAACGTACTTCTCTCCTTTCTGTCATGAGTTAATATTAGCAGTTCATATCACTTAGGAGTATGTTTCTTCTTTTGTTTGAAAGGAGCATCTTATGGATGATGGGCTTGAAGGTGAGAGTGGAGAAGATGCAGGTGAAGATGCCAGTGCAATTCAAAGGCCTGGATTAATGGCTTCAGCTTGGTCTTTTATTACCACCTTCTTTACTTCACTCATACCAGAGGGGCCTCCCCAGGTTGCCAATTAGACCTGAAAAACTATGCCAGCTGCAAAGGAGGGTTTGACTTTAGGAAAGTGTTTTAAATAACAGTGCAATTACAAAAAAATTTATAACTTTCTTTTGATCATCATGTACAGAGGTGTTTTTTCTTTAAGCTTCTCATGCATATGAATATTTTAAGCACAAATGGACTACTAAATTTTTTTTTTTAATTCTGACAGAACATAGTGTAACAATATTGGTCTTCCAGGTTTTATTCAGTTATGTACATTATACCAAGACAGACCTATTTGTGCATCTTATTTCTTTAAAGAGCTGCTTCACGTAAACGTCTATAGTTAGTAGCCCAGCCCGTCAGTGTGTAATTTGAATAAATGTATCTTATTTTTTGTGAATTATCCTGAAAGTTTTAAACAGAATGACCTCATAGTTTTTAACAAAGAATATAATTTACCTAAAATGTGCTAGTAGCATCTTGCCCAGCCATAAAGCAATAAACTCAATAATCTTAATTTTGAAATTTGAATAGAATAATGGAAACTTTCTATTTTAAGGGCATGTATCCCATTAATTGGAATTAGTACCTTTAAAAAAAAGGCAGCTCTTCAGTGGAATTAACAGTGATATAAAATGTTTGATACAGGCAGTACTTTTATAAAATGAGATATGCTGGAAATCACGCTCAGTAATTTTTTAAATAAAAGGTCAATTATGGTAAACTGTCTTATGGGATATTTGTTCAGACTTTCAGTAATGTGACCGTTAAATGCAAAAATCGATGTAAATTTCAGTAGTTGTTTGGAAGGGTTGCCGAAGTCTTCAAGGTATTTTCACCTCTTCCCTTTCCAGATGGGTATCTTTTAGTTCTCAGGTAGTCTGAAACCTAGGTAGTTTATTTAAAAATCCAAGTAAAATCCTGTGATGGTTAATACTATGTGTCACCTTGGCTAGGTTATGATTCTTAGTGGTTTGGCAGACATTGGACTGATTGCTCTTCCATAATGTAATGTAATCATCTCCATGATGAGATCTGATATAATGTAATCACCTCTATGATGAAATCTGCTGTGAGCAGCCAATCAGTTGAGAAGGGAGTTTCCTTGGGGGTGTGACCTGCCTCCAATGTATAAATGGATGTTCCAGCAAAGCTCACTCTCACTTTGAATCCTGCATACAACTTTCATTATCTGACCTCTGGTTCTTGGGACGTGAGCTAGCAGCCTGCCATCTGACCTGCCAATTTTTGAGTTTGTCAGCCCCTGCAACCGTGTAAGTCTGGAAAAGCCTCCAGCCTGATGCATAACCCATGAATTTTTGAACTTGCCAGCCTCCACAAATGCAGGAGTATTTCCTTGAATTAAATCTCTCTATATATATTTATATATATAAATGTTTCATCAGTTTTACTTCTCTAGAAAACCCAGCCTAAGATATATGGTACTGAGAGTGGTTCTAGAGGAACAAAATCATAAGGATGAGTTTTCCAAATTGTTTCTCAAGTCTGGCTAGTTTAAAGGTGCTGAAGAGTCTGTCTCCAGAAGTAAAGAGGGCACTGCTAAGCCATGGTGTGAGGTGACAATAGAAATATGCAAACTGTCGCTACCAGTGGATCAAATATGGGTGAGAGACAAGGTTCTGGGTGATTGCATAACTTTTCTACAATTTTGTCAGAATGAGAAGTATAAGGAAGCTGGTTGGTTGGTCCTACTTTCGCTAGACAAGGTGGTAAAAAAGGTCAGAACTTAAGATTCACAGCTCAAGCACCACATAAATAGCCTCAAAGTTGCCATTTGTACCCTGAAAGAAGCCTTATTTCTTGTTAGTAACGGAGCTGATATTGCTGAAAACCAAACCCAGAGTCATAAGAGTGACTAGATTACAATGCAGTTGAATTCCCAATCTTGAATGGTGTCTGAAGTTAAAATGAGGGCATTGATTGGGAAGAAATGGGATCCTGAAACTTGGGATGAGGACATAATGGGCAGATAATCAGGAAGCTGGGAACATTGAGCTCCTAATTCTGTTCAGTTAGTCCTGCCAACAGAACCAGCCCTCTACTCCCATCTGCAGAGATTACTCCATCATTGTCTACTAAATCACTCTACCCAGTAAAATCATAATCCCTTCCACCCCCATCTGATGAGATTAACCCAGCTATGCCTGAATAGTCTTTGAGATATCTCCTGGGGTGTTGCCTGGAGCATCGCCTGAGGCAGATGCCTTACAAGACATCTAAATGTCCTCAGGACTCACCCCACCTCACATTTTTGCTTCTAGACCTGTAACTAAAGCCCAGCGAGCCCCAAGAGATGAAGTACAAAGTGTAACCCAGGAGGAGGTATGCTATACTCCAAAAGAACTGTTTTATTTTTCTAATACATACAAACAGAAACCTGGGGAATATCTGTGGGAATGACTATTAAGGGTATGGAATAATGGTGCAAGGAACATAAAATTGGATCAGTTTGAATTTACTAATATGGGCCCACTAAGTACAGATTCTTCACGCAATGTTTCAATTTGAGAGGTTAGAAAAAAGATCTCATAGTTTATTTGGTTGCTTCACTGAACAAAGCATGGATTAAGTGGTGGCCTACACTAGAGTTGAAATGCCAGACCTGCCTACATATACTGTAGAAGAACAAAGGCTTAGGGAAATTGGTATGTTAGAGTAAATTTATCAGGTTGGACACACAGACCCACCCATGGAGTACACAGAGGACACACCTTTTACCACGATGGTGAGGAACAAATTTGTGAAGGGAGCCCCAGCATCCTTGAAGACTGCTGTGATTGCTATTTTATGTAAGTCAGATTTGACAGTAGGTACTTCCCTAGCTGAATTAAGACAACTAACTACAGTCTGGCTGATTGGACCCTGTGGTAGTAGGGGCCAAGTGGCGGCGCTTAATTGACAAAGACAAGTTGTGTATGATTACCGTAATATTTGGCAGAGACAAAGCAGTAATGAGAATAGTCTAACTCGTATGGACTTATGGCGTTGCCTACTTAGTCATGGTGTCCTTAGGAGTGAAATAGATGCGAAATCTAAATATTTACTTGATCTGTACACGTGGAAGGATTCTAGGTCAAGTGAATGGCAATCTAACTTTAATCAACAGATTAGAGAGTCACATCCCTCAATCAGTTCCTAGACTTGAGCCAGTTTACAGACCCACAACCTCTTTAATGAAGAGGAGGCCGGGCTCCCTTGAGGAAGGACCCCACTACACTGCCAAAAATTTATACTGCTAATCTTTCTGTCACCCTTCCCCAGAGGGACCTGTGGCCTTTTATGAGAGTGACTGTTCATTGGGGAGAAGGAAATAATCAGACTTTTCAGGGGTCACTGGACACTAGCTCCGAACTGACACTTAATTCCAGGAGACCCAAAACATCACTGTGGCCCACCAGTCAGAGTAGGACATATGAAGGTGCAGTTATTAATGGAGTCTTAGCTCAGGTCCATCTTACAGTGGGTCTCGTGAATCCCGGAATCCATCCTCTGCTGATTTCCCCAGTTCCAGAATGCATAATTGGAATAGATACACTCACCAACTAGCAGAACCCCCACATTGGATCTTTGACATGTGGAGTAAGGGCTAAGTAAGGGAAAGGCTAAGTGGAAGCCATTAGAACTGCCCCTACCTAAGAAAATAGTAAACCAAAAACAATACTGCATTTCTAGAGGGATTTCAGAGATTACTGCCACCATCCAGGACTTGAAGGATGCAGGGCTGATGATTCCCACCACATCCCCATTCAGTTAGTCTAACTGACCTATGCAAAAAGTAAATGAATCATGGGGAATGACAGTGGACTGTTGTAAACTAGGTGGTGACTCCAGTTGAAGCTGCTGTTACAGATGTGGTTTCATTGCTTAAGCAAATTAATATGTCTCCTGGTACCTGGTATGCAGTTATTGACCTGGCTAATGTCTTTTTCTCAATTCTGGTGTTGAAGGTTCACCAGAAGCAGTTTGCCTTCAGCTAGCAGGGCCAGCTATACACCTTCACTGTCCTACCTCAGGGGTATATCAGCTCTCCAGCCCTATGTCATAATTTAGTCCAAAAGGTCCTTGATGACCTTTCTGGTCCTTAAAATGTCACACTGGTTCACTACATTGATGACATGCTGATTCAACCTAGTAAGACATATCAGTGACTTTAGACTTACTGGTAAGACATTGCATGCTAAGGGGTCTGAAATTAACCTGTCAGAAATTCAGGTGCCTTCCACCTCAGTGGCGTTTCTAGGGGTCCAGTGGTTTGGGGCATATTGAGATATTCCTTGTAAAGTGAAGGATGTTGTTGCATCTGGCCCTTCCTACAGCCAAAAAGGAGACACAATGCCTGGTGGACCTCTTTGGATTTTGGAGGCAACATACCCTTCATTTGGGTGTGTCAGAGCCCTGATGGTGCAGTGGTTAAGTGCTGTGGCTGCTCACCAAAGAGTTGACAGTTCGACTCCAACAGCCGCTCCTTGGAAACCCTATGGGGCAATTCTACTCTTGTCCTATCAGGTCATTATGAGTTGGAATTAACAGCAACAGGTTTGGTTTTTTGGGTTTACTCTGGCCTATTTATCAAGTGACCCTAAAAGCTGCTAGTTTTGAGTGGGACCCAGAACAAGAGAAGGCTCTTCAACAGGTCCAAGCTGCTGTGCAAGCTGCTCTGCTACTTGGGACATATGACCCACTGATCCAATGGTGCTTGAAGTGTCAGTGGCAGATAAAGTTGCTGTTTGAAGTCTTGGCAGGCTCTTGTTGTTGAATCACAGCGCAGACCATTAGGATTTTGGAGCAAAGCCCTGCCATCCTCTGTAGATAATACTTTCCTTTTGAGAAACAGATTTTGGCTTGTTACTGGGCCTTAGCAGAAACTGAACACTGAACTATGGGCCACTAAGTCACAGTATGGCCTGAGCTGCCCATTATGAACTGGGTGTTGTCTGACCCACATAGTCATAGCGTTGGACATGCACAGCAGCACTGCATCATTAAATGGAAGTGGTGTATATGAGATGGGGCTCAAGCAGGACCTAAAGGCACAAGTAAGTTACATAAGGAAGTGACCCAAATGCCCATGGTCTCCACTACTGTCACATTACCTTCCTTCTCCCAGTCTGCATCTGTGGCCTCTTGGGGAGTTCCTTACGATAAGTTGACAGGAAGAGAAAACTCGTGTCGGGTTTTCAGATGGTTCTGCATAATACACAGGCGTGACTTAAAGTGCACAACAGCAGCGCCTTTCTGGGACCTCCCTGAAGGACAGTGGTGAAGGGATATCATCCCAATGGGCAGAACTTCGAGCAGTGCACCTGATTGTTCACTTTGCTTGGAAGGAGAAATGGCCAGATGTGCGATTGTAAACCATTGTATACCCTGGGCTGTGGTCAGTGGTTTGGCTGGATGATTAGGGACTTGGAAGGAACATAATTAGAAAATTGGTGACAAGGAGGTAGGGGGAAGAGATACGTGGATAGACCTCTCTGAATGTGCCAAAGAAGTGAAGATATTTTTGTCTCATATGAGTGCTCACCAAGGGATGACCTTGGCGGGGGAGGATTTTAACAATCAAGTGGATAGGATGATGCATTCTGTGGAAACTAGTCATCTGTTTCCCCAGCCACTCGTCGTTGCTCAATAGGCTCATGAACAAAGTGGCTTTGGTGGAATGGATGGAGGTTATACGTGGGCTCAGTAACATGGACTTCCACTCACCAAAGCCGACTTAGCTACAGCTACTGCTGAGTGCCTCATCTGCCAGCAGCAGAGACCAGCACTGTGTCCCCATTATGGCACTATTCCTCAGGGTGATCAGCCAGCAACATGGTGGCAGGTTGATTACCTTGGACTGCTTCCATCATGGAAAGGGCGATACTTTGTTCTTAATGGGATAGACACTCTGGATATGGATTTGCCTTCCGTGCATGTAATGCTTCTGCTGAAACTACCATCCGTGGACTTACAGAATGCCTTATTCAC